GTATATATATTATGTGTTAAGTGTTAGCACTTGGCAAATTGGACACTTGATAGTTTATTACTGTTATATCGCGAAAGCTTGCAAGCTAACAGAACGACACACAACTTAATACTGCGCGACAATTGTTCAAATCAAAAAGATGAAGGCGTACGGATTCATGTTGGGGCTGTTTGAACAAACGCATAGTTGTTATCGATAGCGTCATCGAATGCATCGACACTGCATTGCCTGTTATCGCATGCTGACCTACACAACTATCATTCGCGTATGGCATTCTATCGAGCTACGATAGTTGATTATTCCTTTCTGCGGTATTTTGCATAAATTTCGCAACGCCCATTTACTGTGAATGCCCAAAGACGTTACAATTTAAAAATTTATATAACTATCAGGTAGACAGATATTACTTTAATAAGGCTCGGTTTGCAGGTATATACACACATTTGTATACTTAGGAGTTCGCCCCCATTCGTCTAAATGGTCAACATACTGCTACGCATAATTTGCAGAACGGCATTCATTCCAAACGCGCTCCATCTCGGCGGGATCGCCAAAACCATGCGAAGCTATGACATCGCTATAGCTATCCGGTCCATAATACTTGGGTCTATCAAAGTGGAAGTCATCGCAGTGATGCACGGGTATGTGCGCCCGCAGTGCCACCATGCCCAGAAAGATATCATCGAACCGGAACAGGGGAATGGAACGCCCCACCGCATACATCTTGAGCAAGGCATCCCTTGACAGGACGAACGCGCCTGCTGTCACGTACGCCGGCCACTTGTCGAATGGGTATTCCTCGAGCGACACATACCACTTGCTGAACTTGTGCCGCAGTGGAGCGCTCTGGATTACGTAGCCGGCATATAGAAGGCTCTGATGGTGAGTCTGGCGCCCCTTGCCGAGGAAGCGCAGCACATTCTTAATGGACACATAGTAGTCGTCATCCACGAACAGGTAGAAGTCGCTAGTGTTGAAGTGCTCGCTGGCCCAGCGTAAGCCCATCATTGTCTTGATGGTATTATTGAAGTAGGCATCCACAAAGTCCGCACGGATTATGTCTCCATGCTGCTTTGCCTCCTCTAGTGTCGCATCCTTGACGCTTGCGCCCTCGGTGGGCGTGCCCAGCATAAAGGCGCGCTTGATGTGCACGTCGGAGAAGCGAGCCTCGTAGCCCCACGTTTTCCGAATGGCCTGACGTCGCTTTGCATTGCCAATGGCGCTCTTTACTAGAATTGTCAATCGGGGCGGATCCGCTGAGTCGTGTTTACTTGTGAATGCGGGCAACTGGAGAAACTTGTAGTCGATCGGCGGTGAGGCAGAGTCATTGTGTAGCGGATAGTAGTAATGCGTCTCAAAGTCTAGTTCGTACAGATGAGTCAGAATGCCGCAAAAGTCCACCAGGAAGATTAGAGGTATGGCAAGCGCACATTTTAGCAGTAATTTGTAATGTTTTTTTAACATTGCGCGATAGCCACTAGCGATGACAACAACAATGCCTTCATCGTTATACGATAGATCGCACGCTTATCGATAGGTCTAAGCAAACAAGATTTGAATTTAAATTTGATTTGTTTTGTGCCTCTATATAACAGTACAATCTCATTATAACACAAATAATTCACATAACTCTAAGTAGACTGGCCAAACATAATATTTGCTACAGTTGAAAGTCGGATTTCCGTTAACTGCAAAAAAGCACTTAAAAATACCTAATAAAATACCAAAACAATATACCGTCTGCAGAAGTGCAAAGAAGAAGATCGCGAATTAAATTTACAACAACGTATGATATGATATTGCGCTAAAAGATTCAAAATGTCGGAGGAAGCAGTAAGTGGAACAACCAAAGCTGCCAGCAGTTCGACCCTAACAACAGCACAGCGTGCGCGCATCGAGCGCAATCAGGCCAAGGCACAAAAGCTAAGAGAGGCCAAGCTCGTGTCGCATCCCTATAAGAATGTACAAAAGTAAGTAAAGCCAAGTAGATATGTATATTCTTTGGATACCAAGCTCATTGTGTCCATTGTAGAAATGGTAACGAAGAGTTGCCTGTGGCTGGCCAGGACAACGCCGTCATCAAGGTGCAGGGTACCAAATACATCGACACAGGAGGTGGCTTCCTCTTGGAGCAGCCTGTCCTCGGTGCGGCCGGCAAGCCGACGGGGGAGGAGCCGGCAGAGGCCGCTGTAATCGAGGACGCTATTGCCATACCCGTGGTCTATGAAGAGTGCCTAGAATGTGGCGATCAGTATGCCGACTCGTATTTACTCAACAATTTTGGGCATTCCGTGTGCGACAAGTGCCGGGACAACGAGGAGCGCCACTCGCTGATCACGCGTACCGAGGCGAAGGCCGAGTACTTGCTCAAGGACTGTGACTTCGATAAGCGAGAGCCGGTGCTGCGCTACATAAGCCGCAAGAATCCACACAATGTGCGCTGGGGCGAAATGAAGTTATATTTGCATCTGCAGGTGGTGCAGCGCGCAATGGAGGTGTGGGGCAGCGAGGAGGAGCTGACGCGGCAGCACGAGCTGCGCGAGGACAAGCGCGTCCTGGGCAAGACCCGCAAATACAACAAGCAAATGAAGCAGCTGCGCATGGAAGTCCGAAGCAGTATTTATACTAAAAAAACGAAGGGTGTGCACGTTCACGAATTTGGTCCCGAAACGTACAATGAGGCTGATGACAACTATACACATGCCTGCTTGACTTGTCAGTATACAGAGACATTTGAGAAAATGTGAAAGCGTTTCTTGAAATCTGTCAGTCAAAATCATTACTAATAAATTGCACTGGTTAGTGTAAATTTTCTAAAACGTGAATTTTCTGAATTTTAAATATTGTAATTATCGATAATACGCGTAATTGGTGGTATTTTCATTTGGTGGTATTTTCATTCGCGATAAATGGAGGGAGACGAGAACGAAATGTTATCGCGAGCTACCATCGCTATAAGAAACGCCAAACTAAAAACTCTGCAGCGCCAGCAGCAGCGAGCGCAGAGAGCGGAGCGACGACAAATTAGACGAGAACTGAAGCAACAGAAACAGCAGTTGAAGGAGGAGAAGCAACAGCAAAAGCAGCAGCTGAAAGAGCAGAAGCAGCTGCAGAAGCAGCAGCTGAAGGAGCAGAAGCAGCAGCTGAAGGAGCAAAAACAGCAGCAAAAGCTACAGCTAAAGTTGCAGAAGCAACAACAGAAAGAGCAACAAAAGCAAGAGAAGCAGCAACAGAAGCAGCAACAGAAGCAACAGCAGGCGCAACAGAAGCAGATAGAGCAACAGAAGCAGCAGCCGCCGTTGAATCAGCAGCCACAACAGAAGCAGCAGCAGCCACAACAGAATCAGCAGCAGCCACAACAGAATCAGCAAGAGCCCACACTCCCTACACAGCTAAATAGTGTAAACAAATCAGCTGCACAGCGCAAAAGAAACACAGCTCGCAAAATGGAGGAGCAGTCGGACGATGAGAACTTTGAGCCAAAGACTAAGAAGATCAAGCGCGATTGGCTCAACAGCTATTGCTATTCAAACAAGGCCATGGGCATGATGAAGAAAATGGGCTACGAGGATGACAAGGGTCTGGGTAAGAGCAACCAGGGTCGCCTCGAGCCCGTCATTGCCGTGCAGCAGGATGGGCGTCGTGGCTTTGGCCTGAAGCTGAATACCGACCATTGGTCGGCGGGAAAATGGGATCCGAGTCTGGAGGACCTGGAAATACCGGAATCGCTGATTTGGCTTAAGCAGGAGGGCAACAATTGTGGCGCCTACACGCTGGAGCAGCTGATGATGCAAATGGTGACCGGCCCGCGCAAGCTCACCATCGACGACGAGACCCAATTCTGTGATCCCGAGATCTTGAAGCACATACTTAGTGCAAAAACAGTTTTTGACAGCTTGAACGATACAGAGAAGCGTCGGGCACGCTCTCGCTGCAATCCGTTCGAGACGATTCGCTGCTCCATCTTTCTGAATCGTGCCGCTGTCAAGATGGCCAACATAGACTCGTTGTGCCAATACATGTTCACCGATCCGCGGGACAAGAATGGCCAATCGTTGATCGGTCCGAACGAGCTGCTCTACTTTGCGGATATGTGCGCGGGTAAGGATCAGATCTCAGATCACAGATCTCCTTCTCTATATATGCTTTAATCTATTTTTCTGTCTATGCAGGACCTGGCGGCTTCTCCGAGTACGTGCTCTACCGCAAGTCTTGGGAGGCGCGCGGTTTTGGGTTCACGCTGCGCGGCTCGAATGACTTCAAGCTGGAAAAGTTTTTCGCCGCCTCGCCGGAGTCGTTTGACACATTCTACGGCGTAAAGGACGACGGCGACATATTCAACACAAGCAATCAGAACTCCCTGAACGACTACATACGCAAGCACACACCGCAAGGCGTCCACTTCGCCATGGCCGACGGCGGCTTCTCGGTGGAGGGGCAGGAGAACATCCAGGAGATCCTCTCCAAGCAGCTATATCTCTGTCAATTCAATACGGCCCTGAAGATCTTGCGCGTCGGCGGCAGCTTTGTGTGCAAGCTGTTCGACCTGTTCACGCCATTCAGCGTCAGCCTCGTCTACCTGATGTATAAGTGCTTCCAGCAGATAGCCATACTTAAGCCGAACAGCAGCCGTCCGGCCAACTCGGAGCGCTACATCATTTGCAAGTACAAGCTGCCGGACACGGAGGCCATCATTAGCTACCTGGACCACGTGAATGAGGTGCTGAATGTGGCGAACGGACAGAAGCACCAGGAGGATATTGTGGACGTGGTTGAGCTGTTCAATCACAACGAGATGGTGCAGGACGTGCACTTCATGGAGTACATTATTGATTCGAACAATGTCATTGGCAGGAAGCAGATCGTCGGGCTGCGCAAGATAGCGGCATTTGCACAGAACCCGGAGCTAAAGGAGGCCCGCCAGTCGGAGGTGCGCCAGGAGTGCCTCAAGTGCTGGGGACTGCCCGACAAGCTGCGCCAGGCGCCGGAGGTGAAGCCGACGGAGCGCCTGCTCGAGGAGCTGCTTTGCGACTGGGCCTTCGATCGCAAGTGGATGAACATGCCAGCCAACGAGCTGAAGTCCGAGAGGCAGCTGCACAGCGAGAAGCTGAACGTGAACGACTGGCACTTCATGCCCATTGGACGCGGCGAGAACAACATCAACGGCTGCACCCTCTTCCTGTGCAAGTCGCGCGGCAACCTGTGGCGCTACACGGACCACCGCAAGTGGGAGCAGGTCGAGTCCACCTTCAATATCCAGCCACGCACCGTATTCTTCGGCGAGATCGCGTTCGAGTACACCGGCGAGGCGCGCACTTCGCAGAGCGTCTCGGCGCTCCACATCATGGATGCCATCTGCTTGGGCGGCATCGATATACGGCGGCGCCCGTTCCTCGAGCGCGTCAGCATGTGTGAGAAGTTTGCGCGCAGCTTGAACAAGCCGTACAAGCAGGAGCGTACGTGCGGCACCATCCGTTGCAAGCCGCTCTTCCGGCTCCAGGACATGGATAAATTCTTCGGCCAGATGCGTCCGTACACGCTCAAGGACAACTCGCAGCGCCTGGGCTTCATGTTCGACGATCACAAGTTCTTCGTGCCCGGCGGCGTCCTCCTCTTCTGCGAACTGACGGTCAGCTATGTGACCGCCTATTCGCGGTCTCACCATCAGATATACTACTTCAATACCAGCACGAACGAGTCGCTGTTCAAGGACCAAATCAATCCTTCGCGCCTTAATGAGATCTTTTCGTCGTTCCGCCACAGCTACATGAGGCGCAAACTCTGGAAGTGGACCAGCACACTGCAGGTGGACCCATGCGCCACCGAAGAGCATCCAAATATTCTGTATCGCAGCAATTTCGAGCAGTTCATCCGTAAGAAGCTAATGCCACCCCACCACAATTCCAATCCTAATGCTAATGCCAATCCCAACACTAATCCTAATGCCAATGAAAATCACAGTCAACTTAGAAGCTAAGCTCGGATTTCGTGGAGTGAATTCGATTTTAAAAGATTTTTATTCATCTTAATTTTTTTTTTCAACGGCAAACGAAATAACGATAATAATGTAAACATACATATACATACATATACATAAATATGTAAACATACATATGCATACATATGTAAAACAATACATATGTTAACATACATATACATACTTATGTTAACATATATATACATACATATGTAAGCATAGATATACATACATATGTTAACATACATTTACATACAAATGTTAACATACATATACATACATATGTTAACATATTTACACACATATGCATACAAATGTAAACATACATATGTTAACATATATATACATACATATGTAAGCATACATATACATACATATATACATATGTAAAACTAATTTGGATCTAGACAATTTGCATAGGGTTTAATCAAAATTTTAATTATTATCAATTTACTTGTTTGGCAAGAATATGTATTTGAATTGTTGTACGTTTTAACGAAGACTTTAGTTCAGGAAATTTGTATAAATCTATTTGTAATATCACTAACCATAATAATATGACTATGGTTAGTGGTAATATCCAATGGCTGGACCCATCTTAAAAAGAAGATTGAAGAAACAAAATAAAAAATATAAAACATACACACACAGCAACAGACATAGAAGAAATCAATATTAAAATATAAATTATTGAGAATATCAACCAAAGATTGTTTTTTATTTAAGGTCTTTAATTATTTTTTTTCGCGCATATCTCGGAATATCTGGGGAATTTCCCGTTTTCTGGTGTGGAATTTCACTGGCAATTTGCAGAGCTGCCGGCTCAGCTAAACATATCGATATCTACCTATCGATTGCATTCTAAGTTATTGTGCACAATGGGCATGGTAGCTGGCTTCACAAATGCGAGAGAGAGAGGGAGAGTGATGGAAGGAGATATCTGCAGATATATTGAAATATAATTTTCTAATGATCTATGGATCAGCAATTTTGGTTGCATAAGCTTAACGAAGCTAATCAGCTTATTAATATGATCAGATATAAGTATATGATGTATGCATGTATGTAAGTACTTGGCGTGATCGGCGTTTGTTTATATTGCAAAGAAGAACGCTGAATCGGCTAAGCCGAGCCTGACTAAGTAATATTCCATTATTTACTATGTGATGTGTCTAGCTTCATATACATACATATGTATGTATATTCTGCCACTCAGTCGTTAGTTTTGCGATAAACGTGAAGGAAGACTAAAGAAGCTATGATAATATTCTCTACACTTCAATCAGCCGTATTGAATTCATAATATGCAAGTGACTCGGAATCATCTTCATAATATTCTAAGTGGATATCAGAGGAGTATAACTACCTCAACAGCATCTAGAGCAGGTAACCCACTCCCGCTCTCTCACTAGAGCTAGAACTTTTCATAGATCCTCGCCAGCTTTCTGTAAGTATGAATAAAAATCAATTGCAATCATATAACAAACACGCACATATACAAACTATTCACTTTTATTGTTATATAGAAATGCTAAATGCTGGTATCTAAGCTACAGTTGTTTACTTTAATAGTTTCAGATGCTTCACATATTTGTGTACCACATCCTTGACATAGGGCTTGAGTGCTACGCAGGTTGGTATATTCTCTGGCTGTTCGATCCAGAGTTTGTGCTTGATCTCGTTCTCTTTTAGCTTTTCGCTTAGCTTTAGCAGCGCCGCCTCATCCTTGGCCTCCAGCACCACTTTGTGCATGTTGTCCAGATCCTTGAGATATGCCTGCGTGTCCTCGTCGTCAGCGTGGAGGCTCATGATAGCGGCCGTTGCATGGCAACATTGCGCAATTACCGCACCCAGTGGCCAGTTGAGGGTGCTGCGCAGGTCACCACGCACCACAATATATTGGACTATGTTGGCCATTAGAGTGAAAATCCTTTCAGCAATGCGCTTAGCCGCCAGATTCTGTTTACATACAGTTCAAGGCGTGTATGCTGCTCAATTGTGGCGGTCGGCTAGGCAAAATTTGTTGGAGCACACAGGTTGCACAGCTGTTTTGCTGGTGTCGGAAGCAGCGTATCTATTATGAACAGCTGATGAATGGAAAATTAGGGTGACCACATGCATGTTGTACAGCTGATTTTCGAAATGCATATGCCAATTGTGAATACCCCGCGCTTGGGCTGCCCACACTTGTTGCTACGGCCAAAAAATGTGGGCTGCCTATTAAGTGCTGTTCATATGTGAATAGCCTGGGAACAGTTTGAAGTGCATTAAATTACTTGCGAATAATGCAATAATATACTTTCCAGGCTTTTTAATACGGAAAACAAGAGCACAATCATTTTCTTCCAGAAATGCAAGCATGAATTGTGCATGTTTATAAAAGCCAATCAGGTGAACTATGTGTATCAATTGTGAACAGTAGCCTATTAGGAAGCCCACATTCGTTGGCAAAATACAAACTGTGGGCTGCCCAGTGGGCACTCTTCATATTTGAATTTCCCGCCAACAAATTGACAATTAACCTTGACTTCATAATAAATTCAATGAAAAATTGTCTATGTACATAGCATATTATCATTTTTAAAATAGTCGCCCCATTTTGTTCATTTCTTTCAAATTAAATCTTTCTTTCTTGATTAGTTATGTCAAATAGATTTAAAGCAATTCGTATTTCAAATAAAATATACATCTGCATATATGTTTATCAATCTCTACATTTATTTTGTCTCAAATTTTAATTGGATTGTTGTCTGCACTTTTGGTTTGAAGTCGCTGCGACTTTATTCTGACCTGTCAAAAACAGAATATTGCAATTTGTATTTCCTCTTTCGTTTTTGCAACGATTTGCAGCTCAATTAATCACACAAAAGGGGAATGTGCAATTACGCGAGGGTCGCTCATTTAGTTGTCAAATGCTGAATGCACCCTGTCTGTGGATGAGAAAAAGACTTAAGGAAATAAATGTATATCAAAGGACTTTCTATAATGAGGAGAATTACGTTGTCGATATAAATATATGGGGCCAGCTTGACTTAATGCATAGTAAATTGCAACTTTTTCTTAAACTAGATTAAACTAGCATTTGCCAATAGCTTAATAGCCACCCTCGCTTTGTCGTTGGGTCAGCGATGTTTCGACAGAGAGACAAACGAATAGTTGCGAAATGTTGCAATCACAGCTGAGAGAAGAGACGAGAGGAGACTGCAGGGGGGAGAGGTGACTGGTGCAGAGGCGTGGCAGTGACATGCGTCCGTAATTAACGTCCCATTTTGGGTTAGATTATCCATGAATAATTGGAGATGACGCTGGTCGCGCCTGGTTCGACCAGCCCAACGTCCATGGACGCGGACACGGACTATCCGGCGGAGCGAGTGGAGCCAACTGCAGCAGGAGCAGCGCAGATTGATGATGGCCGAATAGTTGCTGCTGCCATGGAGTGTCTGCAGGCCAGCCAGGCTATGGCAGTCGGCTGGCACCGGCCACGGCAGCCGAAAACTTTGCTAATTGCTTTTTGGCCACATTGGCCAAGGCGCTGCCAACGACAGCCGACAGCAGCGACGGGCCAACACAGTTATGGCAGCAACAGCAATGCCATTTGCAACCCATCCATGTTTGGCCAACGAGCCAAGGACCTATTGCATTATGATACCCTGCACACCACATGTGCATAATGGGCATGTTGTTTCCATCGCTCAGTATGAGACATGCTAATAGGTCATTAAAAATATGATATGCTTAGCTCATAGATCACTCATGTTACTTTAGGTCTGTCATGCATGCTGAATAATACCCTGTAAATTTTGGTATTTCTGCTAAGTCATTCAATTGCATGCCATTTACATTCGACCTGAACAAATAGTTTTTATAGTGAATTGAGATACCCTGTACACCAACTAGATAGTGGGTATGCTGTTTCGAATGCTCATTATGGCGTATGGCGTGTGTGTAGACAGGGTGTATATATGCAGTGTATAATTTGTTGTTTAACTAACAAGACGATTACCATACCCCGTTCCTTTTCTGAATACCCTGTAAGTCATTCATATAGATATATAATAATCTAATATAGATTCGTTGTTAAAATTAAAGATTTGCCATACAAATACAGGGTATGCAGCAAACGCTTAAGTCGTGGCATTTCTTACTGAGATAGCGAATAGTTCATGAACCGGTTCGAGCTTGGAACGCTCAAATGCTCCAATTCGAACTTGAAGAAGCAAAAAAAAAAAAAAACCATGTAAAGCTGAGTGAAAATACGTTTTAATGCAGTCAAATGTGACTTAAGCTAGGTAGTTAGGCAATAGATAAGCTTTATGTACGTATAGGGTATTGTTTAGTCGAGTTAGCTTCAGCTTTGCACAGGTTTAAGCTCATTTATCTCTGTTCTAGCTGCGCCTTTTTGTGCCTCGGCCTAAAAATCGTCGACTCAGCATGAAATTAATTACGCAGACAAATGCAAAGATATATATATATAGTATATATATGTATATAGAGGTAGAGGTAGAGGTAGGGTCACTAGAGGAGTGGGTGCTACAATTTGAATGGATAGTTTTTCGCACTTTGGCATGCCATAAATTTAGCACTCGCTTCTCAATTGTCAAAACAAATTTGCCAAATGTGCCATTCATTCGTTATGAGATTAGGGCCAGCTCCAGCTCCAGCTCCAACCCCAACTCCAACTCACTTTCACATATTCACATGCTCATTCATATCCTTATTCACATCTTCAGGCAGCCTCAGCTGCTCCCTCGGGATGCAGTCGCAGCTGCTGCGGGCTCTCTCTCTAGGCTAGGGCTGCGGCTAGGGGCGTGGGGCACAGCTTGGGGCTTTGGTTCAGTGACCGCTGTCCATGGCAAATGCAAATGTCATTTTGTGGCCATTCGTATGAATAAACGAAATTAAACGCAAGGAATGACCCAAAAAAAAAAAAAAAAAAAAA